AATACTAAAAGTTAACAAACGTGGTAAGCTCTAAATGCGTTGTAAATAGTGAGCTTACCACGTTTGTTAACATTTAGGCAATGGATGTGCATGAAGTTTAGATTGCGACAACGAATTTTTGCATTGTTGACAAAGTTACGTGGCCTACATTATATGTTTTTGTTGTGTACTTACGTGTTTGATTCAGTCGTTATTAGACTACTTAGAAGTAATGCAGACGTTATGTTGTAGTCATGGAAAAGTAAGTTGTTGTGTGAGTACGAATCTTTAGTATGTTTTTGGTGGGAACTTAACTTCGAAATTATTTCATTTGAGAGTTATTCTAATATGAATATTTTCTGGGACATAGTACATCTCCTGCAAAAACTAGGTAATGGCTTTCAATTGTAATTACTCTGTAATTACTATCGTCCGGATTAAATAGAAGAAGTCTAATATGGTCTTACTAATAATGTGTTATATAAATACTTTCTAATTCATTAGTCATCTTGCCAGTAAAGTATAGAAGCTTTATACTACTTTTTCTAATTACTTGAAATCGTTTGTGGTAAGTACTTGCCTCCAATGACATCACTGCGTTAAAATAATGATTTAAAATGCTATTGTGTAAGCATTTTAACCCCTTACATGGTAATGAACGTTTTTACTGGGTCATTAGTGAATGATTATATCTTTATCTTCTAATTTATTAAGCAATTTTTTTAAAGTTCTAAAAAATTTGCATTTTATATCTGCACAAAAAGTTTGTCATAGAAAAATTTTGTGTATATTAATCGTTTCGATTTTCTTATGTAACATTGATATATTGATTGAATATAAATTGAAAATCTTCTATGAAAAAGAACCGTTAGGGATACTCTTATTTACACTTTAGAATATTTCTGTGTAAAAATGGATATTCGCAAATGATATTTCACATGCAAAAATATATGTACAAATATTTTCAGTAGTTTTAGAAGGTGTCAAAATATTACTTTTTTATATAGCTAACTAATTGGTTGTCATGAATTTATGTAAGAAGACAGTCAACACTTTAATATGCATAAGTAATCTAGAGAGAAACTATAATTTTCCTGTAAAGTACCTAAAATAGTTGTCTTTTAAACCGCCAGATACAGGTTAAAATAAGTAGATAAAACCGAACTGCCGGGTAGAACCACATGTAAACAAATGAATGAATGACATTATATATGCAACTCACGAGTTGTCGTTATCATCGTGTTGTCGTCATCATTATCATCTGTTTTCATAACACACACATAATGTAGATGTGGGTAATTTTAACTTCAACTATAATAGCTTTTAAGCATAAGTACAAACCTAGCAAAAACTTCCATTTCAAAAATAATGAGTTAAAAAGTCACTTCATTAGTATTTTGACGTATTATTTTAATACATTTGGGCAAGCTTGTTTACAAATAACTACTTAAATAAGTACTTACAAAGACGCAGTTAAAAAGTTGTTTTATATTAATACCCGTCAAGATGACTTTCCATATGTGATGGTACCCCTGTCTGGTAGCGTCTGTTTTCCAATGGGACGTCTATAAGACGCTTTCCTTGGTTATTCTCCCCTCATTGAAAGGGGTGGTTTCGGAAACCATGTCCGGCTAGTTTCTATTTGAAATATACACTTAAATTTGTATTGTCCTTTTTACAAACTTAAATGGTATAAGACACAATCTCACTGATCATGCGAATTACCTTGGAGTAATCCCTGACAGTAAACTATAGTGGAATATGAATATCCAAAATAGGATAAATAAGGCTAATTTAGCTATTTACACCTGTAAGAGAGCGCTTGGTTCTAACTGGGGCGTTAACCCTAAAGGTATCAACTGGATCTTCTAACCACTTACTATTATATGGTGTTATCGTATGGTGGCAGGCAATGGAAAACAATTATTATAGTATTTTACAATCAGAGATATCTGCTATCAAACAAGTCGACAACTCGCTGAGGTATTATCAAATATCGGGGATATATGTATATATACGAACAGCAAAGCTGCGATCAGAAATCTAGCAGGTGTCCTTACGGTATCTTCGAGCTCAATTTGGCTCATGCAGGGAACAGATAAGAATGTAAATATCAGTCATAACGGGACACTATACAATTGGCAATCACGCCAGAAGATTGTATCCCAAATATAACGACTACTATAGGACTTGTAATAATGAGGAGGAAGATGAAACAATACCTCACCTCCTCTGTTATTGCCCATCATTCAATGATAGCAGAGAACATTGTTTCGGTTTTGCTGCTCTATCGTGTTTGGATGACTTATCTGCGATATGCCTTAAGAATAACCTTAACTTTGTGAATCAAACCGATTGGTTTAAATCTGGAAGTAGAGAGTAATACTTAAGTGGACTCTTACGACCACTAGGGTATCACAACGGTACCTCAACTGGGTGGATCCATGTGAGCCACTCTTGATTGATTGAGTGGCTACCCTTCTTATCTAAACCTAAACCTGGGATTCTTGGTCGTTAGTAAGCTGTAGTACTAACAATACCACTGCTTATTTTTTTCACACAGAAAAACTATTTTCTTTCTGTGTGTATATAAAAAAAGTTGCTAGCGCGATCAAATAAAATGTGAAAATAAAACGCCAAAACTCTAAATAATGTAGACGGTATGTAGTAGTCATTGAAAAGTAAGTAGTTGTGTAAGTACAAATCATTACCGAGTTTTTGCTGGGCAGTTCTTAATTTAAGTGCAAGTGCTTTTTCTCTGTTGAATTACTTTTCTATATATGTATGTACATATAGAGTGTCATTGTCCATATAAAACATACTTTAACTATCAAGTCGAAGTGTGAAGAACTTTAAGGTCTTCACTTACAGATCTTGAAAAAGTTCATAACTATCAGTGATAATGGAGGCAGTGAGACACCGTGCAAACATTTATTATATGTATTTGATATAAAAAACTTTATGCCGAGTATTTTTTCTTATAAATTAATTTTAAACAAAAACAAGTAAGAAATTATAGTCGGGCGAGGCCGGCCATATAATACCCTACACCAGTTACAAAAATAAAATGTGATTTAGTTTTCATAATAAAGCATTTAATTTGAATTGTCTCAGATATACTTAAGCCATTTATTGTTGAATAAAATTGTGGTCATTTAAGTCAAATTTTGAAGTGGGCTTTGTATAAGGGCTATGGTCAAATGAGATCCTATAATTATGAAATTCATCAAGGCTAGTATAGAACTTGGTTTTGCAGCTTTTTGTCGAGATACGATTATATTAAACATAATTATGAACTTGAAATCCCTATTCGTCGGGTTCAGTTGTATGGGTGCTAGTGAAATCATGGACCGATGTTAACCATTTTAAATAGGGTTCATCTCAGGTACCATAGAAGATCATTACAAGCCCTATTCAGGGGCTCAGTTGTATGGGGGCTAATGAACCGATCTTAACCATTTTCAATAGGCTTCGTCCATGGGACAATAGAAGATCATGTACCAAATTTCATTGAATTATCTTCAAAATTGCGACCTGTAGTTTGATTACAAGGTTTACATGGACGGACAGACAGACAGACATACAGACAGACGGACGGACAGATGGACGGACAGACGGACAAACATCAGCACAAACCCAATATACCCTCCCCACTAAAGTGGTGTAGGGTATAATTTAAGCATATACTATTTGTATTTAATATTTAAATTACATTGTAAGTAGTCTTATTAAAATTATAGCAGTCTGCATTAAAATTAGTTAAGATATTATAAGATAAATTCTTGTTAGCTGTTTAATGTGATTTAAACAGAAAGAAATAAATATTATGTTTTTTTTTAACAATTCATATTTCTTTTAATAATAAAGTAAATAAATTTATAAGTCATTCCTCACAAACCGTATCAAAGATACGCTTCAAAAGATAAAAATTAAAAATATTCCTTTCATAAATATTTATAAAATGTCAAACGTTTGCTTAAAACGCCATAAAAAATCATATTTAAACATGATTGTGATTTTTTTGTACGTAATACAAGTACAAGTATCAAAAAGATTTAAAACAGATGTTCGAAATTAAATTCGATTTAAGTTGAAATTTTTGCATGAAACTAAAGTTGTGTGTGTTTTTTTCAGTTACATGATGACAAGACTGGTTAGTTTTTTTTGCCTTTAACAATTTTGTGTAATTTTTCATTTGATTTTCTCATTTTGTATTTATGACATTTAATTTAATTTCTTTTTATCTTGAGCTTAAAAAGATATGTACTACAGCAGCAAAAACAAAATTCTGTATAAATGCAGACGAAGAAGTAACAGAAGCAACAGATTTTATGTAAATTTAACATTTGGGAACCATTTTCCAGGCATCTTGTAATATTAATATTTACAAACACATTACTATGTAGTATATTAGGGTAGCCCCTAAAAAGAAAGGAAATGGATCAAACGATAAAAAAGTCCTTTTTGAGGATTTTCCATATTTCTTGCAAAGAAACTGTATGCAAATTTAGAATCATATGTAAGGGCTTTGAAAAGCCTCTTATCAAACATTTGGGTATCAAACAAATTTTATGTTAGAATATTTTTTCTTCTCCATACAAACGAGGCCACCCTAATAGATATACATCCATCCATATACATACAAACGTAAATTTACTTTAATGCAACATCATACAAAAAAGAGACATAAAATGTTGTATAAAGCGATAAAATGCAGATGAAAACAAATAAAAAAGTCAGACATACACGATCAATTTATGCCCTACTTTTTATACCCTCCACCACCATCAGTGGTGATAGATATAAGTTTGTCATTCCGTGTGTAACACCAAGAAATTTTCATCTGAGATCCTTATGAAATTCTGAGTCGATTTAGCTATATCCGTCTGTCTGCCTTAAACACGCAGGTTTGATTGACAGCATTATATTGCAATTATGCTTAGTGTAGGGTATTTTTTCTTAATGAAATCCCCTGAAACACATAATGCTTTTTAATAATAATTACTTTAAATTATTTGCAGGTTTATTATGATAAAAACCAAGTGACGCCAGGCGAAGGAGCAGGCAATGCAAAGAGTAATACAAATTCTCAAGCCGCAAACGCTTATCGCGCACAATACAGTCAAGTGGCACACCAGCAACAACAACAGCAACAAAATAAGAATCACATAAGAGTAGCTGCAAAAAATGTGGGCATACAGCAACAGCAACAGCAACAACAGCAACATAATCAACAACAAAATATTCTTTATGCTGTGCCACAAAATCCTACATATCATTATGAACGAAATCCTCAACAACAGCCACTGCAACAACAACAAATACAACTTCAAGCACCCGTTTCACTGCCGGCACAACAACGTGGCCAGCAACAGAAGCAAATACAATACGTTCTTGCCATACCACTGTCATATTTGCGTCAAATACAACAACAACTTATACACCAGCAGCAACAGGAACAACCAACACATTTACAAGTCTATAAGGGGCAACAACAGCCACAACAACAACAGCAGCAACAACAGCAAATACAAGCAATACCAGTTTATTCTATTGCCGGACCTTTGGCTAGAGACCATAATGGTGCTTATCGTCCTTTTCATCGTTTTGCTCCAACAGCTGTCAATGATGTCTCAACTGGTGCTCAACATCAAACGGCTTCTGCATTACCCAACACACAACCCCTAGCACCAGCCTCTCCAGCTCCACCCGGTTATATTACTCAATATATACAAATACCAGCAAGTGCTTTACTAGCTGCCGTACAATCGGCTCAAGTGCAACAACAACAACAGCAACGTCCTGTTCATTTACCACAAAATGTATATCAACAACAACAGCCGCAGCTGCAGTTGCAGCCACCAATACATCAACAACATGTTCAGGCTCAAGCACCTCAACTCATTTACTACCAGCCACAGCAACAACAACAATTGAAACAGCCTTCACATGCCTTGACATCGCCACCTGTTTATGGTAATTAGTTTTATGGCTTTCACTAGTATTTTCTTTTCCCTTGCAGCTGATATGACTCCCATTCCATGCCATTCAATATTGGCTCAATTGAGTAAATTCCATTCCAGACATTTCGCATTTAATAAGTAATGTTGTGCAGTGTTGCCAAATGTTGGAAATTCTTGGATTTTATGGTGAATTTTAAAGTAAAACAAACTTGACTACATGAGTGTCTTTGAAAGATGAGGGGGACTGCTAATGAATCGTAGTTTAGAAAATCGTTTTTTAAATAATTCTGAAAATTACATTACTGTTTATAATGAACCTCAACATGAACAAGATTTATTGAATCTTTAATTATCTACCATAATTCACCCTACCCCCATGTAAGAACGTCCTGATACTTTAAAGTTCATGACTAGCTTAGTATAGCAATAAAATTCATTTTATAGAAACATATGGGCAATTCCATGAAAAGCTAAACCACGAGTGAAAAAATAAAACCCTTATAACTTCTGCATTTTTGAAGATAATTCAACAAAATTTGGTATATGATCTTTTGTAGCGCCAAAGACAAAGACTGTTGAAAATTTTTGAAATCGGTCTATTTTTACACCTCGCCGCCATACAAACGGAACCGAAAATATCACTTTTTAGCTCATATTTCTGTTAATTATAATACTATCCTTTCAAAAATCGGCAGATATAAAATGTTTATAAGCTTAAACATTTATGCCGATTTTCATAACGATTGGACCTCATTTGACCCTAGTTCCATTCAAAGTTTAATTTCAGAAAAACACTTAAAAGTCCGTAATTCACCTCTAATCACTAGTATTATGATAAAATTTGGCACAAATAAGTTTTATATGAATTAAAATCACACCCTAGAATTTTATGAGGATCGGTCCATATTTGACCCTAGTCGCCATATAACTCCAGTTTTTTATTTTTATCTATAAATTGCTTAAACATGTATATGTATAGGTCGGCCAAGTTCGACTGCACTTTCGTACTCGTTTTGATTTGTTGAAGTGTGTGCATGCATATATTTCCAAAATATATATTTTATAACCTAAAAAGAAATCAGGAGAAAAATCTATCACATACGATGTGTCACGTACGATATTTAAATATGTTCATTATAAAATTATATTAATTTCTTTTTTTTATTTAAAAATTATGGATTACTAATGAAAAATATGTCCATAGTGTAAGAAATTAAAGATACACCTACAGAATTCGCAGATTTTCATAAATATTTACATGTACTTTAAAAACACTTCCGTTTTTTGTCACGTATGATATCGCCATATTTTAATCCATATGGAAACAAGGTTCCGAATGGGATGATTCATTTTGCAAATATAGTATTCTTTAAATGGAACAGAATGACAAAATTGTTTTCCAAGTACTCCTAAATTTACAAAATCTATACCACTTTGAAGGCGTGCGAATGTCACATACAATATATATTGAATCCAAGACCGGACCCTCCGTCCACTTCAGGAAAAGTCTTAAATCTGCATAACTTGCATAAAACGTCATTTATAGTTATGAAATTCGATATTATTATCGAAAAATCTCCTTCAAAATTTTATGTTGATCGGTTCATAATTCACCTTATCCCCTATATAAAACCTATTATATTTATATGATACAATTCGACAAACGGGATTTAAACACTGATCTCCCTTTAAATTCTTTAGAAATCGGTTCGGTACCTAAAATCGTCCCAATGTAGATATTGCTATCGATATACGTTTATATACATATGTAATTTAGCATAAAACTAACAAAGCGTAAATCGTGGTAACGTTACAAAATAAGATCGATCATTCAAATGAATTCATTCCTTTAAAGAATGATTTATCTTATAAATAATAATAATTCTTTAAAAAGTTCAATTGCATCAGAAATTTATTATGATTCGTTTGATTTGACTAACATTTTGACATAAATGCCTAATACCTAACCCCAATTACATATTATGTATATGCTGGTCAGTTCAAATTATAACTTAAAACGATAATGAATCCAAAAATTTCCGTTCAATTATTATAAACTAATATTAAAATTGACGTTACATTTTCACTTGTGCTAAAAATAAAATTGACTGAAAAATCTAATAATTGAACTGTTCTTGATTATTGTTTTTTTTTTTCACTGACAATGAGTGGCAAACATCAAATGTTTAGTATTAAATTTTTGTCCGTATTGTGCAAGTATTTCGATATCAGGGATGGAAATATAAATAATACTTTGTCTAATTCCTGAAACAAAAATAATACTACCTTTTCATAAGTCATCTTCATTTGTTTTTCACTTGATTTACATATATATTTACATACGAAACATATTGATTTTATTTTCTACATACATATGTTTGTATTAGCGTACCCCGTACCTTTTAACAAGTTTGGTAGGTCCGCTTGTGCCACATTTTTGAGACGAATTATGCATATCATGAATGAGGTTTGCACTGATGAGCAGAAGGTAGGTATTCGTGTCAAATATTAGTGAACATTCTCTGTAAAAAGCAGGACCAAGGTAACAATATAAATGCTAGATGCATTTCATTCCCATTCCTGATATACATACATACAAATATCATGCAATAATTCACATATCGCACGTTTACTACGACACTGGCGGCATAAACCTATTTTTTTTTTTTGAAACATGATATTCATCGTCCTAAAGTTTTCTATATAAGTTTTATCTATTTTTTTGAAGTAAACGTCTAATTTAAAACTTTTGTTTTACCACTTCAATCTTAGCAGTCCAATGGGTCAATTGTGGACCGGTATCTACAAAATTTTAAATAGTGAATAATTACTTCCAAAAATAACTTTTTTCTCAATTCCGTAATTTTTGAACGATTTTTTGACAATAAACTGATTTTCTGCAAGAGGTTTTATATGAGGCTTCCTGAAGAAATTTGATGGAGAGATTTTTGTTCCTAGAAATCTTATTTATTGTTGAACTTCATATTCTGAAGTTGCCCGACCTTAAGGACAATTATGAACCCTTCCGAAAATGACTTTGGAGTTCATAACTGACTTAAAAATGCACTGTGTAGCACTGAAATATGATATAATTGACTTTTATATCAACCAAAATCTCTGTACCAAATTTTATGACAATTGGTCCATAACACACCCTACCCCCATGTAAGGTCTCCTCCAGAAAATTACTTTAATGCCAATATAGTAACGAAATTGGCATAACCGAAATCTCTCTACTAATTTCTATGATGAACGGCTCGTACCACCATATAACGTCCCTTCAGAAAATAATTTTGACGCACTCGAGGGACTTAATAGTATAGCGATGAAATTCAACCAAAACAAGTTTTGTAGGAAAGAAAATTTGTTTACCAAATTTTATGAGGATTGTAGTAATTTGCCCTAAACCATTGTGGCCCTCTTTAGAAATTAACTTTAACGAACCTTAAAATGTCGATAATGATGAAAATCGACACAAAAAATTTTTTTGAGTAATCGAAACCTACATACAAATATTTATGAAATCTTATGATCGGTCCCCCATAGAAACCATCTTTTACAGCTAATAAAGTTTATAGTTTGTTAAAAGTTTAGAGTTAATAAAAGTTTGTCATTATGGTCGAATTAAGGTAGAATAATTACTTCTTCTTCAAATTCGGTCCATAATTTCTGTGATACAAATTGAAAATTATTAAAATATTTAATTACGTGTTTTTCTTTTGACAGTTTTGTAGTAAATGAGCGATATGTTCGAACAATTTACAATACGTGGTAAAAATATAAACATTTATCTTTTAATTATTATTCCATATTATCAGATAATAAGTATGAAATTATAGTCGGGCTTGGCCGACTATATGATACCCTACACCAGATATGAATATTTAATGAGATTTATTTTTATACCCACCATCAAAAAAGATGGGGGTGTATTGTTTCTGTCATTCCGGTTGTAACACATCGAAATATTCATCTAAGACCCATACAAGTATATATATTATGGATCCTTATTAAATTCTAAGACGATCTAACTATGTCCGTCCGTCTGCCCGTCTGTCTGTCTGTCTGTTGAAAACACGATAGAGTCCAAATGGAAGTAGCTAGCGGCCTGAAATTTTGCACAGACATTTTATATTGATGCAGTTTGTTTGAATTCGCCTAGCCCCCATATAAGGTCCCCTTCAGAAAATAACTTTAACGCTTATAACTGATTTAAAGAAGCATCTATAGCGATGAAATTCGACACGAACATATTTTATAGGAAACTTAATGTCATTGTAAAATAGTATAAGGATCGGTCCATAATTGACCCTATCCCCTATATAAGGTCCCCTTCAGAAAATGACTTTAACCCTCATAAATGTCTAAAAGAAACATCTATAGCGATGAAATTGGACACGAACATATTTTATAGGAAACTTAATGTCATTGTGAAATTGTATAGGGATCGGTTCATAATTGACCCTATCCCCCATATAAGGTCCCCTTCAGAAAATGACTTTAACGCTCATAACTGTCTAAAAGAAGCATCTATAGCGATGTAATTCGACATGAACATATTTTACAGGAACCTAAATCGCTTTGTAAAATTTTATAAGGATCGGTTCATAATTGATACAACCCCCCATATAAGGTCCCATTCAGAAAATGGCTTTGACGTTCATTACTGCCTAAAATAAAATCGTTCTAGAAAATGTGACGAGGATCGGTCCATAATTGACCAAAAAAAAAAGCAATTTATTGTCGAAAAACTTATTTTCTAAAAGAGGCTCTATATGGGGGATAGGAGCAAATGTGTACAGATCCCGATAAAATGGGCTGGATAGATTTGTATTTATATAATATTTATATAATATATATAATATTTGTCTGTGCTAAATTTCATTGCAATAACAGTGCTAATAAATGAATTGCGGATATTCAAGTCACTTTCTGAAGGGGGCTTTGTGTGGGGGCTAGGGTCAAATGAAGTCCGATCATTTCGAAATTCGGCAAGGTCATTAACGCTGGTATAAAGCTTAGTTGCGCGAACTTTCATCGAGTTACATTTATATTATACATAATTATGACTCAAAAGCCCTTTTCGGGGCGTTTAGTTGTATGGGGGCTAGGTGAAATAATGGACCGATCTTAACAAAAACAGGCTTTGTCCTTGGGTCAAAACAAACGTGTATTCCAAATTTCATCAAATTATCTTGAAAATTGCGATCTGTACATTGATAACAACGTTTACATGGGCACACGGACGGTCGGACGGACATAGTTAAATCGAGTCAGAAAGTGATTCTGAGTCGATCGGTATATTTTAAGGTGGGTATAGTACTAATATTTTAATACCTTCTAACATTATAAAACAACGATATTTTCCACAAAAAAGTTTTTGATACAATCATACAATATATTGCAGAAAAAATTGTTAAATATGTTAGTAAAATTCTATGAATGTGATGGTAGCAAGATTAGAGAACCTATTAAAAGGCCTAATCATAATGAACAAAATATTATAAAATAAATCGTGTAAATATGTATTTTGGGAAAGCAAACATTTCTACAACGTTAAATTGTCTTGTGTTTAGTGCGGGCAATTGGTAACTTCAGACCCAATCAGAGAATGTGTTTCTTGCTAATGTAGTACCAAATCATTTTATCCTCCGTAGGGAGGATGTTAGGGTTTGCACTGATTAGGGCTATAGCATTTTTAATTATTTTTTTTTAAATATCAAATCAGCAAATCAAAATTGTATATATGTGAAATGAAATATTTTATGGTAACAAGTTAATAAAACACTAGCGCGCAGATTGAAATTTTCTTTAAAGCAGACAACAAATTAAGTAGAATCCTTAAAAAGCAATATAAGTCCTTTTAATATACATATTTTTTATTTTTCTTTCTCATTTATATTTAAAGGATATAATGTCAACCAACTGCAGCAGCCAACTCAACAACATCAGACTTATGAACATTTGACGGAACAACAACAGCAAAATGTAGGTAAACAACAACCGCACCGTGTTCGAGGTGTTAGACCGACTGTAAATTTAACACCATCCCAATATGACACAAACGCTGCAGCGTATGAGCACGAAGAGAAAGCTCAACTAGTAGCACTACAGGCACCATCAACACATCAAAATTTAAATACACACTCCCACACAAATGCACATAGTCAACAGTATATTGCACAAGCTCCCTTAGCACAACAACAGCAACAACAACAAACTGCACCGGCACATCAGGTAGTACAAGCACCTGAAGCTTTCGACCATGTTGTTCACTATAATCCACAATATGTACAACACTTTCAGGAGCAGGCACAACAGCAACAACGGCAACCTCAACACCAGCCCCATAGATTACATATACAACCACAGCATGCACCACTTGTAGAACATTTAAATAATTTACCATTTTCTCAGGGTATTCATGGTCCAACACCACTGCCATTCCTACGCCTACATCCAGCAGCAGGAGTAACTCCTTTCTTTCCACCAGGCATTGCTCAGCCGTTTGTTTCGAGTGGATTTCAACCTCCCTTTACTCCGATAGGAATGCCAAGTAAAGTGACATCCTTTACAAATGTCTTATTGCAGCCATTTGTAGGACATCCTTCTTCGTTTCACACACCGGAAATTGGTACAGCTGTTGCTGGCAGTGCTGACTCTTTACCCTTTATCCATCAGAATGGTGGCATACGTTACGGTACACATCTTTACCATCCGCCTACGTCAGCCACCTCTGTGTTGGCCGGCAACAAACAGCACAACTCAGCAGCTGCACACCCAGCTCCAAGAGTGTTGTCGACAACAGGAGAAGGAAAAGTTTCTGCATCCTCAGCAAAAGCCACTGTGGTAGCTGGCGCAGCAGTAGCTGGCAGTCCAACGGTAGTAAAATATCCTTAAGGGATATCCACCCTCTGATCTTTGTTGATTGTTTGCTCTAGCAAGGAAACTTTTTGTTTTTTAATTGTATTTTTTTGATAATTACTTATTGCTATTACTACTACTACTACCACCATCACTACTACTAAAAGTACAACTGAACCACTTCCTAAAAATACAAACATACATACATATGCCTTTGAATTGTAAAGGTTCGTGTGTGCTTGTATGCAAAATATATTCATTTGTTGCTCTACTCCCGAGCATGCTGCTCTATAACTCCGACACTCTGTTGTTGTATGGCATTTGGTATATGAATGAAATGTTTGCATGCAAAAGAATATTCCCAACTCAGTAGTCATTGTCTATTGTAACAATGGGCTGAAAAAATAAAGAAAATACGCAAAAATTTATATTTAAGTTTTATTGTTATAAATATGTATTTAACGAACTTTTGTATAATGAAATAAATCAGTTATTTAACAAAGCTTTAAAACATACATTTTATATTGAAATTTTATTTAATTTTTTAAAAGTCTTTTACAAATATCGTGGAGCAGTGTCTGTTGAAAATCAGTTAGTAGAGGAGCTATTATCATTCGTTAATTGCACATTTGTTTGTAAAATAATTTCTCCGCATGCATGTAGACAGGATTGAAAATATTTTTCGAATTTATTACGTTGGTGTTGAAAGCCTTGTGATTGACGCTCCGATTAGTAATTCTTGGATTTTTTTCGCGGTGGAATACGGCCCATTGGAACCGTCATTGAATACTAACAGCGAAATACAGTGCTTGCAACCTAGTTTTCGTATGTTGATATTCTGACTGGGAGAGAATTATCGATGCTTGAAGTATATCTAAAACCAGCCTGTCTACCTTTTGTAGGATCATGCCCTGACCAATGCGGTAATATCAAAATGCGATCTGGACAATCGACAACATATAAATCTGTGTCTATCGGTAACAAATAACTTAATTTCATAGGGAGACATTCTATTTTAATATCGAGAGAATAGCGATGGTGCTCGAGAAAATAAATAGAGAATCGAGTAACTCAGTAGTAAAAGTATTAAATTTTTCATCTGATATATGTATCACGTATCTATTAAAAAATTGGTGTTAGGTTTTCGAAAAACAAGTCATTCATGTTTGACATTAGTAAGAATGAGAAATGTCGTTGAAATATAAAAAATTAGGAGAAAGAACAGAGCCTTGCTGTCTGTACCTCTGATATAATATTGAGATCCGGTCTATAAGAATTCGTAAAGAGCAATCCCTGAAAATTCTCGATATAAATCAAGAGAATTAGTTGCCGAGGCCAAAATCAATTATTTTAATAAAAGTTATTTTTATGGTTGAAGCATTGTAACAACAGAAACGTTGTGAGGTCAGGGTTACTGATGAAAAAGAAGGGTTAGGTTAGGTTACGTTGATAGGAGGATGTATCTATATCAAATCCGAAGAAATACACCTAGGCCACTATTGGGCCCATTCAACCAGTTTCATCAGATCCGACGTTGGTGGTCGTGTCGGAGAATCGAAAGGCAGGTAAGCAGATGCAAGGTATATGTTGCCACGACCTTGCTTCAGCACCGTTGCCGTTGATGTTGTTAATCCAGATGAGAGGAGAAAAAGCACAAGTTCTTGTGACATAAGTTACATGTTCTCGGGCGAGATCCTGCATCAGCGAAGAAACGTTGAAAATTAAGGAGATTTAATCCAGAAACCTTGTTGGAAATCGTCCAATGTTCCTTTATTAAAGCTATATGTATCTTACCTTTGTTTATTTTAGTCATCAGATAGTCAGATTTATTTAGTCATTTGGATAGCCTCAATCATGTTCAGCTATTAAACTGTCTTCGGGGAGTTGGTGATCACCTCCTCGCTCTTTGAATTTGACACTATTGATGGCACTGCGATGTCCTTATCAGGCGTAGCAATAGCAGTCTTTTTAATTGGCACCATTCCAATTTTGGAAATCACCGCTGTTCTGTCTTTTGGCGAGTGTAATCTCCTCGCCTTTAGGATTTGACCCCTCAACGTTACCAGTAGTGGCTAATGATGCTATGGGCACCGTCTTAGGTATTTTAGTGGCCTTATCGGGGCTTGTTATAACAGCCCTTTCAATTGACACCTTCACAATTCTGAATATAACAGCTTTAGAAGTGAAATAAGCCCTACATTTGCTCTTGGCAAGACTAGCCATGGAGTTCTGGTCGATACCTATTACAAATAGAGTTCTCTCAGGTTCTTATTTCCTGTGAAAGACATCCCATTTTTCCACGACCAGTGTAGCATTTTGTCTTCCAAGAATTTACAATATACGCTCATTAGCCAATTTACTGCCAAATCCTTTTATGTAGACAGTGGACTTTAAGAGCAGCGGAAGATACCTTTTATTTACCAGTCCCAGCTTAGTTCCGTCCCAGGGATCTGGAATACTTTCCACCAAGTTCTTCAAGGTGCTAGTACATTGGTGAGATCCCAACCTCATCAACATCACGCCAATACTGAAATAGCAGCTCACACTCTCTATTGGTTGTTTATCCTTTGAAGCGATTGCGTTACTCTGCTGGTCTATTGGAATTTTGCTTGTTAGATTACCAGCATCGTATACTGCATATCAGAGATCGTCCCGATGTCTTCTCTTGGCAACTTTTCTCTTTTCCTTTTCCATCGTCTAGCTTCTACTTCTTTTGAGATACCTTTATCTTAGAGGTTGATAGAGTCGGAACCCTATCCTATGTTTAAAGGCTGAGGTAGCATAGAACTCTCTCCGAGTACATTCTTATCATTCACCCCTATGTTTTTGCCAACGGCATGTTGTACACTTGACGCATTTTCCGCCACGGAGGCCAAGGTACCACAAGCGAAAACAAAATAATTATATTTTTCTCGTGTTCAGTTCATTACTAAGCATCGTTTGAGAGGAATTCTCAAGAGGAATTCATCTCAGTTAGTATAAGTTGATTTAAAATATCTGGAGTCAACAAGAAAATGACTTGGGACCCATTGTGCTTTACACTTTTATATTAAAATGTTCTATATGTGCAAGTATTAACAACAGTGTCTCTCTGGTGTTTTTGGTTAAAAGTTTTAAATGTTTGTGTGTGAGATTGAACATGAATATGCCTCTGTATGTGTGTGTGTACTTGAATTCGTTTACTTAAGTTGCAAGAAGAGAAATATCAACGCAATATTTTTTTGACTTTTTTACAATTTTCCAATGACTTTTTAGCAAACAAACAAAAAAATTCTTGTAAAAAAGCAATGAAATCTTTTTGAAATACCCTACACTGTGTATGTACTTATTTGGAAATGAATATTAAGTAATTTTTACCCAGATTTATGTGGTATAAATTGAAAACAATTTGAAAATATAAGTAAAATTTTAGGAAAATACTTATTTAAGTTGCGTTGTTAAATTAGGATCGATTAAAATATACGTTTAGTGATCATACATACATACATATATGCTATTTAAGTTTAAACCTTGAAAATATCAGTATTTGTCTGTTAACAAAACTGTTATATTTATTCGACAGATACTGGTGAAAATATTGGCATTGACTTGTCTATTTCATTCAACACAAATAGGTTTTAATTTCGCCTATAGCTCCTTGGGGTTTTTTGTTTTATATTTTTTACTTTTAAGCCACATTGCAACTTTTTAAAGTTTAAAATGTTTCAGTTATTTTGTAAACACAAATGCACAAAAAACTTTCATATAAATGGTTGTTTTTTCCTTGCGTTCTTTTTTCCTTTGTCAAGGAAATGCAAGAGAAACAACAAAGTTAAAGTAAACAGCAAATATTGCATATTTATCCACTCATCTATATCAAGAAGATCTATATCTACATATATAGTAAGTATGTAGCATTGTTGTTACGCGTACTGTAAGTAAGTTTAAGTCATTCATTCGTTACACTGCTTTTACTCTGTGATGATATTAAAGGGTAGGAGGTTCTTAAAACTTTTTATTTTTAAGAATGAAGAAAATATTTTTACTAATTTTATTGTAGTTTTAAGTTGAGAAGGTCTTCTTGGAGATACTTGTTATTGGAGTGATGTCTTTCTTTACTGAAAAATATGTACATATATTTAGGTTAAGAAACATTTTATTTGTAAAGATACTTATAAACATTCTTGTTGTGTTTGTGTGTTAGTAATTTTTGAAAATATTTAATTTTAACAAAATTTCAATTTACATGCACTTCATTTGATGGTAAATTTATTTTATTTAGATTTCTTTTGTATATGTATTTATTATCTTCTTTGAGTGTCCCACACAACACTAGGAATTGATAGAATTATTTTAAATTTAGAAGATATTTTGAGCACAACTCTATTAATTGTTGTACCAACAGACAAACTAGAATTAATGACCTCAGTCATGAACAATACCCAAGCAATCTTATCCTCCTCAGTCTCACTTATGTTCATTCTTCTAGCTTTTAAAGAAAATACATAGGCATATCTTTGATGGACCAAAGTTATCTTATAGTTAACTGAACCGAATAATTTCAATAAGAAGAGCTAAACCATAACCACAGTCGTAACAAAATGTCGCAATACGACAACTGTTGAGATGACAACAGCAACAAGGCTTTATCAATCGGTAGTTGTTGTTGTTGTTGTAGCAGCGACACCTGAAATTACACGTATATATATTTAAAAATTATTCCCTACTCTTCTTCTTTTTCGCTCTGGTTATCCGTTAGATGGTGGTACGGGTGGTCCCTCCGATAACATCCCAGTAGGACCTGCTTTGACAGCTTGATATTGGGTTCCATGACTGAAAGCATCTTCGTTTCGTCATGCAGGTGTTCTTCAGACGTCATTTGAATGCAGCCTGTCACCGTTCTAAGTGCTGCGTTTTGACAGCTTTGTAGCTTCTTCCATTGTGTGTCGCTAACTCTGGGTGTCCACACTGGCGCTGCGTAGTTTAACACTGACCGGCCAATCGTTTGGTAGGTAGTTAACAAGGTTTCTTTATCCATTTCCCAAGTGCTGCCGGCT